AACCTAAATTAATCATGTTATATAATCCTATGGAAACGTCAACTTTGACCTAACCTAACATATTTGACGTAACTAACCTTGTCTAATCGTAACCTATCATAAATACACTTGTTTATTCCTAACCTAATACAACATATTTCAACAATATTTTGATATTATTCCAAAAATTAAAGCTTTCTTAACAATTCTGATTATGGAATTCAATATTAACTTAACTTAACATATCTAATCTAGCTTAATCATTACATTTCAACCTTACTTACTTATGTAACTATGACATAATCTATGGTTACCTAATCTAATCATGACATATTCTACGATAATCTAAACTAGTTTAATTATTACATAATCTAAACTAACTTAATCAATACATATATCATAAAATAACATAAACAAACCTAAAGCAGCATAACCTATGATCGCCTAACCAAATCATGTCATATTCTGAGATTATCTAACCTAACTTAACCATTACACAATCTATTATAATCTAACCTAACCTAACAGAATCATGACATATCTTAAGATAAAATAACCTAACCATAAAATAACCTTTCATCAATTCATCAGTATTGCGATTTAACACTCGAGTCGAAATGAAGCTGTAACAAAGAAACGTAAAGGAGTGCAAACAGCATGGGTCAATAACCGTAACAAGCTTTTGGTACAATGCAAATTAACATAATTATTTCGACGAAATCACTTCGTGATGGAATTTTTATTGCGTCCACAACAACCAAAAAAAAAAAACAAACAAAAAGAAAACCCCATCGAAATACGTAGTGCAAAGACAGCAAATCGTCATATTGCATAAATGTAATGTATTAAATAATAATGGTAGGAAATATAAAAAGGTGCGTTGCACCTTTTTGTTTACGTACATAAATAAAATGATTACTACACACAGGTATATTACGTGGAGGCAAATTTATTTAAAAATCCAGCTAATTATCGCATTATTACACGAGTGCAGTTAACTCTTTACGTAACATTGCACTTATTATAGACATTTTCAAAAAAAAAAAGAAGAAAATATAAATCAATAGTCATGGACCTTGTTTGCAGCTCGCATAAACACACACATACACACACTATGATGGAGATACGTGTAATATACACTCGCATACCAATTACGCAATTGTTATGTAATCGGTCGTACGTGCATTGTAATGGCACAAAATGAAAAGAAAAGAAGTGAATTAGGAGCGAAAACCGCAGCGGCGCCGAACCAAAAGGATTTGCTCCTTCCCTCCTCGAAGACAAATGAAATTAAATAAAAAAAAACACAAGAATCGAAGCATGCAGAAATCAATAAGAAAAGAACAAATGAAGCAAAGAGAGCGAGATATTAATTAGAGAGAGATGTGAAGGATTAGACAGTCTCGTGTCTTGTCTCCTTTTATCAAGTATTTTTCTCATACCTGAAACGTTTACTTTTCTAAACTTTTTTTCAAGGTTTCCCCACATTACAGTTCGATCTTAATCATTTGCAAATTATTGAAATCAATGCAATTATTTCGATGATATTGTAACTGTAATGCGAGCTTACCAGTCGCACTTAATCGAATGCAGCAATGATGATAATAATAATAATAATATTACATAGACGTTCACAAATATGCACGTATATATACGTGTAAACCATAATATTAATGGTGTGTGTGTGTATAAATAAAATCAATCGCTTTACTTTCCACCGACGACGAAGTAATTTAAACATTTATTATGAATATTCGATAAATCATGCTAGATTGCAGTTTCCTCGGACGAGAGAGGCACAAAGTGAGCTTAACATTGAGGAATAGAATATATCCATCTCGCTTCATCTTATCCAGTTTCGCATTCAGCATCTCTTTCTTCTTTTATTCGGACAAACGAAAAAAATGTTTACGGAAATGCACGGATCAATCTTGCACACTTCTTTCGATGTAATTGGAACACAATTCATTCGAGAATCCTGGAAGCCGCAAGGAATAAAATTATTTTTGTTGTTCATTTTTTTTTTCGCTTGCACTTTAATTACAATTTTGTAATTTCAATTTAAAATTTGTTGCAACTTCTTTCATTGTTATTGGTAAAAAAATAATTAATCTAGTATACATGAAACTATACAAATTTTACTAAACAATTGCAAATAAATACCTACTCAGGTTACAATTTATGATAACCTAACCTAACGAAGTCATAACATAACCTAATATAACCTAACTTAACAGGATTCGTAAATATAAACTAACCTAAATTAGCATAACTATGACATATTCTATGATTACCTAACCTAATCATGACATATTCTAGTAATGATATGTAATGATGAAGATAGGTTACAATATTATCTGACATAACAAAATGATAAAGTAACATGAACTAATAAAATTATGGGTGAGTAATTTTTCTTGCAAATTTTACAATTTTTGTTCAATTATTTTGCAACATTAATAAATACTATACAAATATTACTAAGCAATACCAATTAGGTACCTAATCAGGTTGCAATTTATGATAACCTAACCTATTGTAATCATAACATAGGCTAATATAACCTAACCTAACTTAATCGTGACATAACCTAACATAGCTTAATCATTATATAATTTAACTTAACAAAATTAGTAAAAACATAATCTGACCTAAACTAGCATAACTATGACATATTACCTAACCTAATCATGACATATTCTAGGATAATATAACCTAGCTTAATCATTACATAATCTGACATAACAAAATCATAAATTAACATGAACTAATAAAATTATTGTTGCTTTTTTCTTGCAATTTTTACAATTTTTGTTCAATATTCGTAACATTAATATAAAATTTGTTGAGAATATTGCAACTCATTTTATTGGAAAAAAATCGAGTGAAGAGGAAACAATTCAAATGTTACTAAACAATTGCAATTAGGTACCAACCAAATCAGGTTGCAATCTATGATAACATAACCTAACGTAATACATAACCTAACATAAGTTAATCAGTATATAATCTAACTTAACAAGATTAATAAATTCATAATATAACCTAACCTATCATAACAATGACATAATATATGATTACCTAACCTAATCGTGTTATATTCTAAGATAATCTAACCTAGCTGGCATAACAAAATCATAAAATAACATAAACGAATAAAATTATTGTTGTTCCTTTTTTTACTTGTACTTTAATTACAATTCTTATTCAATTATTTTATAATTTTAATTGAAAATTTGTTGAGAATATTGCAACTTATTTATGGTTATTGGAAGAAAGAATTTATCTAGTGTACAGGAAACAATACAAACTTTACTAAACAATTGTAATTAGGTACCTAATCAGATTGTAATCTATGATAAGCTAACATAGCATAACTATGACATACTCTATGATTACCTAACCTAATCATGAAATATCCTAAGATAATCTAACCTGGCTTAATCATTACATAATCTGACATAACAAACTCATAAAATAACATAATCTAGCCTAACCTAGAATAACTATGACATAATCTATAATTACCTAACCTAATTATTACATATTCTAAGATAATCTAACCTAGATTATGTTAAAATAATCTAACCTAGATTATGTTAGATTATGTAATGATTTAGTTACATAATCTAACATAACAAAATCATAAAATAACAATAGCTAACCTAGAGTAACTATGAAATAATGTATGTTTTTACAAAAATTTTGTTATTTTTTAATAAAAACAAATCATAATTTTGAAAATCTCAAACATATTTATTATTATATTCAGATTAATTATTTCAAATTTGGTGAAAATGTTGAAATTTCTTTTAATGTAATTAAAATCTTTTTTTTTTTCATATGTAACTACTAAGTTTTATTACTTTGCTATATTTATCACTAATTATTAAAAAAAAATTGAAATTAGTTTGAGTCCTTTTATACAGTTTTTGATATCTAATTTTTATTTATCATTACGTAAAAGTATCAAAATTTGCGTAACTTATGTAATCACAAAAAAAATATCTCAAAAAATTTTCAAATTAATTTGAAATAATTCCAAAAAGAAAATGAAATAATTTCTATTTTTATTCAATAAATTTGATCTAGTTTTAACTAAATTAAAACAGAAACAATTCCTCAACGAAATTGAAGAATTACTTAAGAATCTTCGCACTTGTTGCGCGAGACGCGAAGAAATTAATGTAATCATTCCTTAATGAGAGTTTGTATTAAACACGTAAAGTATGATTCCCTCTGTGTCGTAATAATAATTCAATGAGAAATCCGTATGGGAAGTCCGTGCAGACAATGTGAACTCCTCATTCATTTCTTCCTCTTCTGCTCACAATTTTATTTAATAGTTATTCTTTGCAGTCTACAACAACAACGAAAAAAAAAGTGAAGAATAATTCAACTTGGTAATTGCACTATTTCCGTATTTCCCAAACGAACAAGAAAAAGGTGTGCACGAATTGCATTTGCACTCGAAGCTCGAAATGTGTCGTACCTTAATTGCATTTAAATCGACTGAATAAACACATGCAAAGTGCACCAATTGTCTGTTCTTACTGTATTTAGAGTACAGATGTTTATACAAGTTTTGTAAGTAAAGTTTAAACAAGGCTTTGCTCTTGAACTTGTATTTTGATAATTGTTAATCAAAGAAGTGTAAATTCCTTAAAAATGATTGAATAATTTGTTACAAATAAGTATAAGTATTATAAAGTTTTACTAAACATTTAAACAAAGTAGTTAACTATAAGAATTTTATAAGGATTTAAAAGTTGAGGCAAATAAATTATTACTAAAACTAATTTAATACTTAGATTAAAAAAGAAAAGTCTTCATTCCAATTATGAAAGCAAACTCCAATCTAAATGCAAATAATCTGAAGAAGAAAATAACGAATCTTAGTCCATTCAGATTTAATTAGAAGCTGTAATCTACGCTTAAGATCAAGCAGATTAAAGGATCAATATAAATTCAAATTACGCCACGTATGCATTCCTCCAAACTCACATGTAACATGTGTTGCGTAATTGGGTTTGGGCCATGTTTGTAACAGTCGGTAACCTCAAATTAGCAGAAAAAATACGCGCTCTTCGGCAGCAGTAAATTTAAATGTTTTCCTTTCGTTCGTCTTTAGTTTAGTTTAACGTGAAACCATGGACATCGACTTGGATAGATCGGTGCGTCTTCTGGACGAGGCTGTAGCCTCCAAGTCCAAGAACATCTTTCGCAGAGGTGCAAAACAATTGAGGAAGCAGAACCTTCAGTTGTCCATAGATTTGAGTGAGTCCGAGATGAAACTCTTCACAGATGAAAGCACATTCTACAATGAGAGTTTCAATGCTGTGTTGAACGAGAACAAAACACTGACTGGATCGATTATAAGATCGAATGAGCCTTGGAAGAACACAACTGATAGTCTTTATATGGAATTCTTTGAAGTGCTGCAAACCGCTTCGGAGAGCAATGAGATTTTGAATGTGATCGCCGAGATGTCCAGGTGTTGTTCGGACTCTTTGAATGTGATCAAGGGGTTGAAATCTAAGGTGTCTTCGACGGGAGATTCGGATTTGTGGTTGGAGAACGAGAGGAACACTTGGAGGTTGATTTACGTGTTGTACGGGAACAGATTGGGTGATACTGCGATGGAGGAGGAGGATATGCCTATATACTTTGGTCAGAGTGAGAGGTATTGCATGTTGTCTCTGTTTAAAAGGGACGCTTTGGTGAGGGAGAGTCAACTGGTGATTGATTGGTTGGAGAGCAATGCCGCTCAGAGGGATGATGAAGTGCTGCATTTCTCTGATAGCACTGTCGGCTGGGAGAACACTTTGCATCAGCTGAAATCTAAGGAGACAATAGTGTTTGAATCGAGTAGAACCATTGTTAAGCATTTGGATGCTGATGCTCCTCATTACGAGAAGTTGCCTTTGCATGATTTGGACATGGAGGATGAGAGGAGGTTGTGTCATAAGATCTTTCAAGAGATCAGATGCGGAAAATTGGAAGCAGCACAAAAGGTTTGACATTGTATGAAGAATTATGAAAGTTATTGAAGATTTGATTGATTTTTAGTTGTGCGGCAATTGCGGACATTCGTGGAGAGCAGCTCTTTTGGAAGGTTGGAAGCTTTACCACAACCCGAACTTGGAAGATCCCATGAACCAAGAGGACGAAGAGGTGGATAACAGCAACGCGATGGAAACCGAAGAGGTGAAATACAAGGATATCGAAGGAAACGAGAATCGCGATATTTGGAAAGCCATGGCGTGGAAATACTGCGATGTTGTAAGTGCTTATATCCCATGGTTTTGTGCTTAAATTAACGTATTTTGGTTTGCAAAAGGAAACTTTGAATAAGTTCGAAAAGGCTGCTGTTGCCGCGTATTCGGGTAACTTGCAACCACTGTTGCACGTCTGCAGCTCCTGGGAGGATCATCTTTGGGCCTACATGAGGGTGATGATCGATATACGCGTGGAGAGCGATATTAGGGAGAACTGCATGAAGACGTACGCCGATATGCCCGAAGAGTATTGGGATCAAAAGTGAGTAATTCAAAGCGTAGCAAAGTAACGAAATGTTGATTCATTTCTTGTATTAGGATGTCCATCAATGAGATATTCAACTGTTTGGAGTCGTGCAACAACGCAATCGTCCAAACTGATGCGATGACACCAGATCATCTGATCCAAAAGTACTTGATCTTGGACGAGATCAACAAGTTGGTGGAAGCAGTAGAAGATTGGCTGTTGGAGCCGGCGATTTCGATGCAATTCTTGAGGTTCTTAACGCATTTGATGCTCTTCCTGGAGCAGATCGGGCAGGTGAGCAACCGCGAAGTCGTCGAAAGAGTCCTAGAAGAGTAAGTTTACTAGCAATGATATCAATTGAAAGCATTAACAAATTGTTATTGTAGATACATCAAAAGATTGATCGAGGATAGGCATACGCAACTGGTAGCGTTTTACGTGAACAAGCTGAATGACACCATGCAAGTCATCATTTACTCAACGTATTTGGAGACCATTATCAATGCTGAGGATAGGAAAGAAGCTTTGAACTTTGCCGAAGAAAGCGAGTTGAATATCCATGCGATTACGGCTAAAGTCGTTGAGAATATCCGTGGTAAAAATGATCCTGAATTCGATGGAAATCTGCAGGTAACAATCTCATGGATTATTTTAAGATTTAGGAATTTAACTAATTGATTTTTTGTTAGAGGAAAATTACGCAATGCGATGAGTATAAGATTTCCGCGTTGGATTGGCTTCTGTTCTACGATACGCAATTGCCTGAAGCTCTGAAGCAGACGAATGCCATGATCTTCATGTTCCTTACGATGAAGAAGTTGGACGCGGCGCAATTGGCTTTCAATAAGTTACCAGTAGATCTAGTGAATAAGCTTACAAAGGAGAGCGAACCTTCAGCGAATGTGCAGCAAAATATCCGAGAACATCTGAGTTACAAGGCGTATCTGGATGCGCAAGAAGCTTTCAACAATTGGTTCAAGAACTTCAAGGCTAAACCGAATCCTCCGGAAACACCAGGAGATTCGGCTCCGTTCACGGAGAAGGTGGCCTACGAGCATCGCCTTTCCCAGTACAACGCAGAATTGGGTAGATGGAAGCTGATGATCGGGCAACTCTCTAAAGTAGCTAAAAACGCTTTATACAACGTCTTGCTTTTCCCTGATGGAGGATGGTTGCACGGCGCCAAAGACGCTCATTACCTGCAATCAACTTGCATACCTGAATGCACTTTGCTTTTGTATAATGTGCTTAGAGAGTCGGAGGATTATGAAGAGTGCGTCCAACTTGCCGATATCTTAACCAGCGAAAAACACAAGCTCTACTCTGTAAGTATTTCTAAACTAAATTCTTTTCATCTCTGATAATTGTAATGTTTTTTATATGTGAATGTTCTTATTGCAGATGTATTCCAAGGATAAATTGGGAGAGATCTTCGTGAAGCTGAGCGAAATCTCTGTGCAGCTGCTGATGCAGAAGAAGGATCCTTGGGGCAACGAGATGACCGCGTAACAATGAATGAACTAATTGTTTTTACCTTGTTGTATTTTGTTGAGAAACTAATTATTTTTTTTTTTTTGATCGTGTTCAAGCGACAAAATATTTATTTTTCCAACTTATTGAAATAAACATGCATTTTTTTTAAATATACATTTTTGTTTAATTTCTTAATTAGTTAACTTTTTTAAAGTAATTTAAAAATTTCCTAATAATTTGGTTGAAGAAAGAAAACTAACTGGTGAAAATCGTTATGTAATCATGAGAATAGTACTTTTATGTACATTTAGATGGAGTTTTCTGAAAGAAAATCGATTTTGGTTGTAAGTCTTAACGTTTGTTATACAACACCCTGTATTATTTAATTTACATTTAAGTTAAGCAGTTAAAGTGTAGATGGCGCAGGGCTTTAGTAAATTTTGTAATATTCACAAAAATTTACATGAATTTAAAAATCAAATTCACATGAAAATAATTTCTGTTTTACAATGTTCAACTTCAACTCACAAAACTGATAATAGGCTCATTGTAAAGGCCACAGTTTTATCTTTAATTTGAGTATTGTTTCATGTAATTAGAGTGCGTGGTTATCAAGTAATTAAATGAAATGTGAAGAATTGAAAAAATATTTAGAAATCAAATTCACATGAAAATAATTTCTGTTTTACAATGTTCAACTTCAACTCACAAAACTTATAATAGGCTCATTGTAAAGGCTATAGTTTTATCTTTAATTTGAGTATTGTTTCATGTAATTAGAGTGAGTGGTTATTGAGTAATTAAATGAAACGTGAAGAAGTGAAAAAAATTTAGAAATCAAATTCACATGACAATAATTTCTGTTTTACAATGTTCAAATTCTACTCACAAAACTGATATGTGCTCATTATGAAAGCTACAGTTTTATCTTTAATTTTCTTATTGTTTCATATAATTAGAGTGCGTGGTTATCGAGTAATTAAGTGAAACGTGAAGAAGTGTAAAACTATTTTTCAAATTAATTATATGTAATATAGGCAACTAAATATACATTATTTTTTGAAAAATTAATTACAAGAAAAGTAATAATAGCACAAATACTTAAGTATACGCGTTTGAAAGAAGAAGATTTTTAATTTCATTTGCATATTAGACGGTCTAAGGTGATTACGTGGTTATTGAGTAATTAAATAAAAAGAATGAACGTATTTTATTTACAAATAAATATTGCTGGAGTTTGAGAATTGATTACGAGAAAATCAATAATACCACAAAAACAAAAATAGTTGCTTTGGAAAAGCTAGAGTTTTATCTTTAATTTGAATATTGGATGGTCTAATTAGCGTGCGTGATTATCGAGTAATTAAATAAAACGTAAAGAAGTGCAAGAAAACAAATGTACACATTACCAATGATTATATATAAATAAATATTGCTGAAGTTTGAAAATAAATTACGAGAAAAATAATAACAGTACAAAGACTGAAGTATATGCATTGGAAAGACTAGAATTTTACCTTTAATTTGCCCAAATTAAAGTATTTGTACGTGAAAAAGTGTAAAAATAATCTTGAAACTAAATATATGTAAAGCAGGCAACCAAATGTACACGGTTTGTTTAAAAATAAATAATGCTGGATTTTGAAAATTAATTACGGGAAAAGTAATAATAGCACAAAGACTGAAGAATACGCGTTGGAAAGGTTGAAGTTTTTTCTTTAATTTGAATATTAGATATTATATTTAGAGTGCGAGGTTGTCGAGTAATTACATAAAATGTGAAGGAGTGGAAAAATATTTTTCAAATTAAATATGTGTAAAGTCGGCAACCAAATCTACATGTTGTCAATGATTTTTTTTGCTGTAGTTTGGACATTAATTCCGATAAAAGGGATAATTCCACACAGATGAAAGTAATCATATTGGAAAACCTATAGTTTTATTTTCAATGAACATTTTATTTGATCTAATTGAGACAAATAATTATCTAGTAATTAAATAAAATGTGAAGTTGCGCAAAAATTGTGTCTTGCTTTTCAGTTAATCTAATTGTTATAAATACGACCGATTTGAAATTGCTTGAATCTTAACAAAACAGAAATTAATTCTTATGGCATCAATTTACGTTTAAAACTAGAGAGGTATGCGGAAACAATAAGTATTGGAGTTAATGGGGAAAAGCTTTTAAACTTGAGTTTTAGCACTGTTACTAGATCCAACAACAATGATTCTCCCAACTGCTTCATTTACATTTATAAAACTTTCTGTATACAAACATTTCTCTAAACTATTTTTTCACCTTAATTATAAGAAAGTCTCCTACAGATTCATTAAAACTAAAACACTCATATTCGCTGATGTATTTTATTCCATTTTATACCGACTTTCCTGAAAAGAAAACTGACGTGTTTTCTTTACTTCTCTTTAATACAAAACAAGCAAAGATGTTTTATATAATGACTCTCGTGTAAAATGATTTCGCATGAATTTGTTTTACGTAATGAAATGAGAAATTCAGCTGCAAATCGTTCGGGGTATAATGGAAACAGAGTGACTGAAAAAGCTGCGCGACGTTCAGAGATTTTAATTAGAAATATTTTTAATTGCAGTCGAAAGAGTTGCGGAAAAAACGTGTTTTACAACGTATTTTCTTGTAGGCGAGCGTGTAATTAACAGTGCAAATTGCATCTTGCAAAACATAGGATTTCGTTTATTTAGTTTGAGTTGGTTATGCGATTTCTTCACTTCTTATTGAATTTCTCGACAACTGCAGGTTATGTGTAGATGATCGAACACTTTTATTAAAGCTGAAAGTTTTACCTTTCCAACGAGCCTATTGGTAGCTTTATGGTATCATCCGTTCGTCTGCAATTAGCTGTCATAAATGTCATTGCTGTCATAACGAGCATCTTCACGTTTTCGTTAATATCAGGATAATAATGCAAGATAATTACATAATTCAACAAGAATCGTTCAATGGAAACTGTCACCTTTCAAATGAACCCTCTAAAACTATTCTAGCTTCGATATCTCGTTTTTTTGAAGGTTCTGAAAATTTTGCGCTAAAAACGATTGTCGGTGTCTTCAGTTTTTATTAAATTACTCGAGAACCGCTGAAGACAATTACATCACCTTATTTTCTAATCAAAGCAGAATATCTCACCTTTCCAAGGAGCACACTAACAGCTCTTTGCTATAATCCTTTCGTCTGCTACCTTGTTCAAAACTTTATATAAATAATATTAGTCTAAAGCGTTCCGATAGATGGCGTAATTGTAAAATCCGTTTTAGTCTTCTTAATTTTGTCTCTCTGTCGCTTCAACATTAATTAATTGGTTTTGGTCGGTGTGCGTGCAATTAATCATAATTCCGTGTAATTGCATAAGCCTCGAAACGCGCGTCGAGATTACGTATTCCGGCGTTACCCGGCGCATCCGCAATTCGGGGAATACCCGATAAGTTATTATAAACCTAACCTAACGAATCTTAACCTACAAAAAATACAATTTTCCTAATGATAATGTCACATACTTTTATGTTCATTTACACACACAAAAAAAATGAAAGAAATTGTTTGCAAAAACTTCCGTATCCCAAATCTCTGCTGTACGAGACAAGCTCTGTTTGCGTTTGATGGAAGTTAATGGAGCAAACGGAGCGTAACAGCAATTCACTCATCCTTCGGACGAGATTCAAAAGAATGCATACAACAACGCGGCCATTAAACCCTAATGCGAGGCAAAAAACTAGTTGCTGAAAGTGGACAATTTTGATGACGAAAATGAAAATTTTTCGCAAACGATCCATTAAAAAAGGCAAATTGTAAAGTAAAAAGAACTATAATACATTTTTTTTTTCTTGTTCACGTTTGGTTATGGATGCCAGATTCGTCGATGGAGGCTGCGAGGAAGTATTGTTAATCCTCGAGCTATTCCATTAGCAGCATTTTAGGGATGGGGATGATGGGTTGTGTGTGTGTGTGTGAGGGAAAGAGAGAGAGAGAGAGAGAATTTTCCCACTTAACTTGGTTAACAGTTTCAACGAGTGCACTTTGGATGCTCGGCGAATTCCATTTTAATAAACTGCATTCTGTGAATAGTTTGCTGGGCGTTCGGCTGGGCTCGGGGCTCGCATTTCTGCCCTCTGCATCCACTTTATAACGAGCTCCGCGATTTTTGCCGCCGAGCAATTTTAATTGAGTTTGTTACGAAACAAAAGGTCCAACCGAGCATCCCTCTCTCTCTCTCACTCTCACCACCACCGCCATCCTCTTCACCGAATTCAATTAATCGAACCACCGAATTTCGATTAGAACAAAGATGATGATTATGATTTGAAATTAACTGTTT